CTCTCTCTCTCTCTCTCTCTCTCTCTCTCTCTCTCTCTCTCTCTCTCTCTTTCTCTCTCTCTCTCTTGGATGTGTGTATGCGGACGTATGCAATGAGGGTGGCAAGGTGCGAGGAATAAATGATTGATTGTATACGTGAATGTCGTAAATGCAAGTAAAAGATTAGAGAAACATTGAAAACATGCGTTGCATGCATTAGTTCCCACAAAGCATTTGGCCATGCACTCACCATCCTTTCCCCATCCGCCCGCGTGAATGTCGTTTTCCTCATGTTTGTGGTGTGCAGTGCAAATGACAACAACTGATACAAGATTGTGCAAAAGAGGATGGACAATGCATCTCGCAACTTTGTCTTTATCAAAGAGGGAGACGGCGGCCTTGACGCGAATCATCCACGAATACGGGAATAGGTATCCCATAGCCACCACACACGACGTATACATGAACGAGGTGTTGCAACTCACTCGCAACGATTTCTTTTTACTCGTTGTAGAACTTCAGTGGTTAAACGACAATGTCATCAACTTTTACCTCAATCTCATAGCATTGGACAACTGGTATAGAATACAACACGTAGAATGCGACGCGGAGAATGAGATAGTTCTTAGAGAAGGAAAGGGTCGCATTCCTATAGTATCGGTGCTGAGCTCATTTTTGTTCGTCAAACTTTTCAACAATGAAATAAGATATAGAGGTCGAGAGGTAGAACGCTGGTGTCAGGACGTTATCATAAGTGACATGAACTTGATTATTGCTCCTTTCCATATCGAACACAAGAACCACTGGACCCTTGTCGTGGCTGACTTCAGGAGGAGGAAATTCGAATTTTACGACTCCCTCGACCCCGACATGGAGTTGGCGAGAAAGGTGACCAGCGGGTTTGCAAAGCTTATATTCGAAAGATCGAAATCGCAAGGCAAAGAGGTAGACACGAAACCATTCAATCACTTATGGAATGTAGAGGGCATTCTGAAGCAACACGACACGAACGAGTGCGGGTTCTTTGTGCTCACGTACGCATCACTGTTGACACGGGGTCAACTTCCACCTTTATTTTTCACCGCTGATGATATACCCGCGATACGTCGTCGAATGGCTTTGGACACAGTGGCTCGTGAGTAGTGTGTATATGATAATCCATAATATGATTTGGAGGGGGGGCGGATGCCACAAGATGGTTTTTGACAAAAACAATGTATATAAGGTGTCAAATATTACTCGATACGCTGTGCCACTTGACCCTTGCAATTTACCACATATCCCTTACACCTCACCCCGTTCACCTCACACCTTGCCCCTTACACCTTACCCCATACACCTTACCCCTTACCCCTCACCCCTTACACCTTACACCTTACACCTTACACCTTACACCTTACCCCCTACACCAAACATCTCTTTGTAATGGTTTTTGCACCTAAATCAGCTAAAAAATGACCATTTCAATTTCGTTCAATAAATATAAAATGTCCGTTTTGACGAAATCGCTGTTATTTGGTCAGGCGATCTCGGGAAAGCCCACCCACACATGAATGGTGGGAAGCAGATTAGTTAGGATCCTGTTGATGTAGCTAAGTGGTTAGAGCACCGGTTGGAAATATGCATTGTGGTATGAGGCTGCGGGTTCAAAACTCAATTGCAGGCTCGCGCATTGTGGTAGGAGGTTGCGGGTGTCCACGCACGGCTGGACACCCCCCCCCTTGGGCTGACGCACGGTAAGCTTATACAGACTGTTATACCGCGTCAAACGCGGGGACGCAGTCGTTCGGGTAGCACATTGCACAGGGACGCTGGACGCGATTTCCAGCAGATACATTCACATCATTGTATAAGGACGCTAGACCCGATTTCCAGCAGGTGTAGCTCCCCACCAATAGATGGAGCCTTCGACGTCGGGACCTACTTACCGGGGATGCTCTTATCACCTCGTTAAGTAGGTTCCCTCAGGAGGTCGTGGGTTCAATCCCCATTGCCTCATGTACCTTCCTGGGAATGCTTGGCACCCGCCACCTAGAGATAGACCACTGGATTCCCAACCGGCATTGAGCAGAGTCTGGTGATGTTCGTAGGGGAGGGGACCTGAGGGGAGGCACAGGGATTTGGTCCTGTTGGCATGGTCCCTTATGCTACCAGCTGTCCCCTAGCCGGTATCGCCCACCTGCAGGTTGGGAGCAGCCCCCACATGTTCTCTCGTGAACACGGTTCTGGCTGCTATGGGGTTGTTGTGAGTGTTCCAGCTGGAGATCGGGTCTAGCATCCCTGTGTGTTACTGTGTATTTGTTCATCAATCTATAGATTTTATCCATGTCCCATAGGGGAAAAACCCCTATCCTCCCATTGTCTATGTCCTACTGTGTATCTGGTACTATCAATACTTGTTCATCAATCAAAGCATCAAACAGACCATGTCCCATGGCGAGCAAGGTGCAAGTAACCTTACATAATAGAGTGCAATGGTCGAACCGGACTTTTGTCCAAGGTTTAGCTATAATTGATTTTCCAAAGCCCGTATTATGAATGCCCCTCCTCACCGGGTGCTGCAAGAGCGATTCTGAAGATGACGAGGGATTCAGACTAGGGGTAAGATATTAGACTGCGATGGCCAGTTAATCCCCTCAGTTGAGGGCAATCAATGTTGCTCATCGAATTAATGATGTGTGCCTACGTGTCGATTCAGGTGTTCACTCATGTTTATAGTAGGATGGACACATGGCACGGTTACATAACTCTTGTTTCCAAAATGCCCCTTCCTAAAATGTTGAGGGACGCTGGACCCGCTTTCCAGCAGGTGTTGCTCCCCACCAATAGATGGAGCCTCCCCGAGTATGCTAGTGGTGTCTGCTCTTATCAGCACCCCTATCACTCACTCGGGTTGTTTCTTGTTAAAAAAAAAAAAAAAAAGGCATCATGCCCAATTCTGTTGATCACACCAGAAGACGAAACCCTAATCCTGATGTGATCTGTGTGCAAGAGGGGAAAACCCTATGCTCCTATACTACCGTTTCTCCATATCAAGCGAGGCCTCAAGCCCAATCCTGTCAATCAACCAAGGGTCGAACCCCAAGTACAGGTCCTGGAGTCCTATGTGTAAACTGGAGATTGGGTCCACCTATCCTATACAGCTGTAAATGAAGCCAATCAGCATATATGCGAAACTTGCGTGTATCTCGGAAAGGAGGAGAGGCGTTGATTACTTCCCTTCACACAGGGGAAGAGTTACCCTTTTGCTGATAAAGCACTTATCCCCTATTCAATGTTGTGTGGAGATGATAACATCTGAAAAACGTAGCTCACCCCACCCTAAGCAAGGAACCAATCAGAAAAAAAAAAAGTAACATCAAAACGTAATCATCAAACCCTTCATGAGCCCACACGAATAAGAGGCCACATGCATAAGAGTTGAGGGTATGAGAGTATGAGAGTAAGAGTTTTGAGATTAAGAGAGTTGAGAGAAGAACATTTATCGAACTCCCACCCGAAGTTGTTGTTGTTGTTGTTGTTGTTGTAATTATTGTTGTAATTATTGTTGTTGTTGTAATTGCCGTCGCTGTTGATGTCGTCCCACACGCTCTCACCGCCCATTTTGCCGCCGATCCCATCAACCCCAAATCCCCCTTCACAAGCCCTAACAAGGTTGTAGTTCCCTCTCCCTATCCCCTGTTGTTGTTGTTGTTGTTGTTGTTGTTGTTGTTGCCGTTGGAAGCCTCCCCACCCTTCTCACCAATCTCACCTATTACGTGCCTCTCATCCACTACAGCCACCAACCCTGTCGTGATCACCGTGTTGTTGTTGTTTTTGTCGTTAGTGTTGTCAGCCCTCCCACCGTTGTCATCGGTCTCACCCATCACCTGCCTGTCCTCCACAACAGCCACCGCCTCTGCCATGATCCCCTGCGTAACCACCCACCGTTGTCACCATCCCACTGATGCAGATGAGTGATAGTCTCAGTGCCGACCTGAAATGGGCTCATCCTCAGATTCTCTCACCATCCACCAACCCCCCCATTGAAGTTGTTGTTGTTGTGGTATTATCATTGTTAATACCGTTGTAGATATTGTTATTGTAGTTGCCCGCCTCTTTCTCGCCAAACTTACCCATTCTCTGCTCCTTATCCACGTTAACCCCCGCTTCTACCATAGACCCCTGCTCCTCCTCCCCCACCTCCAGCTGGTCACCATCCCCCTGTTGCACGGAGTCTTCATTATCCTGCAATCCCCCATCCTTGTAGATCGCGATAAGATGTGCAAAGTGTTTGGCCACATCGCCCTCGTCCTGCCCATCAACCTCTCGCTGGCAGTCGTCATTATGCATGAAAAAAGGCATATCACCGCCATCATCAGTGTCAAAGTTGACAACGTCTTCTCCCACCTGCTCATCCTCCCCGCTTCCCCCATCCTCGTAGACCGCGGTAAGATGTGCATAGTATTTGGCCACATCGCCCTCCAACAACAACAACACCAGCAAGACGTGGGGCTTGTGGTTGAAGGTTGTCACAATGACGGCAGGAGAGTTAATGACCGAGGGGCTGGTGAGGTGGGATTTGAGGTTGAAGGTGAAATCTACTGTTCCCCCCCATTCCTACCCGGTCTTTCATTCTGATGATCCGTTTGTCCGTGTAAAAAAGCGTGTCGCCGTCCTCATCAGTGTCAATGTTGACGACGTCTTCTTCCACCTGCTCATCCACCCCGCTTCCCCCATCCATGTAGACAGCGCTAAGAAGTGCAAAGTGATTGATCACATCCACCTCATCTTGGCCATCATCCTCTCTGATCCATACGTCATCAGGCATGTCAAAAGACGTATCTCTATGATGTATCTCCCCCACCAACCCCCTCTCTAACCCGGAAAAGTGCGCCCCTATTCGTGTGCTCATCGTTTCCACGGCTGGCGCAATCCCTGTCCTCGCGCCGTCGGTCATTCACGATACCTACAGCAGGTGCCACGTGGCCAATCAAAGAGCCGCGGGCATCTGCCGGGCGAGCGCCACAGGCCCAGCAACCGGGGAGCTCCTCTCCCCGGGCGCTAGTCTAGCCGGGAGGACCGGGCCTCGCCGGTCTGTCGGCATCAGGGCGCTAGCGCAAGCGCATCTCCCGAAATATCTGCATGCTACCCATTTGCCACCACTTGCGTGCCTTACCAACTGGGCTATTGCAGGAAAAAAAAAAAAAAAAAAAAAAAAAAAAACTGGAAAACGAATAGCAAGCTACTGAGGGTTGTACCACCCCACACAGGGCCAGGAAAAAGGGCATTTCAAGCTCTAAACTACTAGCAGTGTATCTACCTGTGTTCTACCAGGAGATTCATGCTCATGTTGCACATTTGGTCAGTCGTGGGGCAAGGCCCTCTATCTCCACAGCTCTCGGGGCAAAAGTAAGTGCGTTTTTTCTTCTTCTTTTTTCCAAAAGTCAATACGTTTTTTTTGTTCTTTTCTTTTCTTAGTAAGCCCTGCCAATGAGGCAGGGCAGTCCGTTCTAGATTTCGTTATTTTTGGGAAGATGCAGTAGAACAGGAAAAAACAAAAATGAAAATGACCCGGACCCAAATCGCCCGCCCCTAGTTTGCAACGGGAAGAAACTCTATCCCTCAAAAGGGAGACAATGGGCGACGCTCTATACTAAATTGCAACGACCTTGACAAGTTAACCTGCCTACGACCGGTCTTAGGGACGACTGCGACCAGACCCTATTTTCTGCTGTCAGAGATCCCAAACGAACCCATCCTAGCAAAGTTGTACTGCACGACCTTACCGAAAATAGAAAGAAATGAAACGACGAAAATGGAACCCACACAAGCGCAGCCTCCTGGCTGTGAACACTGCCTGCGCGCCACCCAAGGGTTGTCCATGGTGTTGTATGTTGGGTCTTGATACTGCGTGGGTTGCTTGTGGCTGTTCTCATGGTTGTTGATCTCCCCACTCTGGCATATCACACACAGGGGCCGTTTGCGATTGTCGCTCAAATGGTAGAGTCTTCAGGTCACATGTCATAGATCACAGGTTCGAGTCTGGCTTGGGACTTTGGGGGGGGTCCTTGTCCAGCCTGGACTGTCATCTCTTCAAACGAATACATAGTTCCCTCTACATAGTACTGCACATATCTGGCCTTCGGGCACATACATCTCGCTATACAGTTACACAGAGCACACATAGCCTTCGGGCAGACACAAAAAACATGGCCCTATGGGCTCATACAAATATACATAGCCTCTGGGCACACACATATAGACACAACTACGATAGTGGGCTGGGGGGTCTATCAGGTATTTGACGGGGTCTACTTATGCATGGCTTAGCTCTACGGTAGGGTAGGGATATAAGTTGCTCCGGCTAGTCTGAGTTCCGCCTAGCCTTGGGTAAGCTAGGGAAAGGACGGTAGGATGTGTCCGCGGGCGCTGGCCTGCCTTGCTTAGGTAATCCTGCTGGGTAGACTCTCTGAATTGGGCCTGTAGAAGATTGCATGAGCCTGGCGTCCGAAGTCCCCGTACGGCAAAGTTCGTCCGCTTCCGCATCCACTAGGGCTGGGAGGTTGGCCCAGCCTTGGTGCTTGTCACTGATGTCTGGTCCAAGTTGCCCTCGATAATGGTGGAGGGAGTATTCATGGGTGGCTTTGCAAAGGTTGATCCATTTTTGAGTTCGTATTTGTATTTCGAATTGCCCTCGCAACTTGTGTGAATAATCGTTTTTCAGTAGAAAGGATAGGAATCAACCTAGGATTTTTTGCACGCCTTAGCGAGTGTGCTCAGAGTTTCTTTTTGAACTTTTCAATTTCAACCTGGCGGTATGAATTAGGCGCAGCTTTCACTGGCATTTCCCATACTAACTGTTTTGTTGCCTTTACCTTTTTTGCGAAGTTCAACGTGTTTGCTATGTGTAGGCTTCTATAAGCAATTTTTCCTTGCGCTCTTCGTCCTCCTGCTCCGCACCTTCGGCGCTAAGCTGCAACTGCCTTCTTCTCCCCCACTACGCACCTTCCCTTTCTTCTTGATCCCGTTGAATCTTGGTATTGCCTTGCACCGGCTCTTCTAACTTCTTTCCTGCCTTCGCCTACACTCACGGGGATCTTGAGTAACAGTAGAAGTCATATGGCGGCATGTAGAGAGACTCTGAGCCGCTCAGACTGTGATCTCATTGGTTACGATCACTTTGATCGGATTGACATGGTCCACACGAGCGCCCCTTTCCCTCTCTCTCCCTTCCTTCTTCCCTCCCCATCTTACCCTCTCCGTCCTCTTCGCAATTATAAATCTGGTAAGGGCTTTTTTTTTGTTTTCTCGCATATTGCAACTGGCAGGGGCGTGAGGCCTTGCAGAGAGATCTTGGGATTTGCCGAGGGAGGAAGGCTTTCCACTGGCAATCTGAGGAGGGTCGCTTTGACAATCTATGGGGCGGGAATGGTCTAGGTGGCGAGAACAGGACAGCCAAGGTAGACGTCCTGGTTTAGGGAGGACTATAAATGGTTTTAGGGTTATGATGTCAGGCTTGCTGTTATAGCATTCTCTTAAGTTTCATATTTTTCATCATTATTATTAACTTCAGAAAAGAAAAGAAAAAAATCATATTATATCAAGCTTTGTGGTCTTCTGTAATTCTTGGCGGCATTTGGCCTTCTTCCTCATTCGGGATATAGGATTTCAGAGATGGTCGAATCTGGGCTGGAATCTACATAGTTGCTTTGTTTTGTACCCCTGTGGTATGCTGATGCCAGAACGACTGGGGCGTTGCCCTGTAACTTGCAATGGAAGGAGTGTGAGGCCTTGTAGAGAGATCAGGGGATTAGTCGAGGGAGGAAGACAATCCACAGGCGAACTGGAGGGTGTTGTCATGGCAACCTATGGGTCCAGGTTTAGTCTACGTGGCGAGAACAGGATAGCTATGGTTGATGTTGGCTAGGATGGCACTGTCTCTGAGATGTAAATGTCCTGGTACAGGGAGGGCTAGGTGTTGTTTTAAGATTAGAAGGCCAGAATTGCTGATATAGCATAGTCTTCTATATTTTTTACGTACTAGCATCAATATTTGTATCTCACATTGTTCATAGAATTACTAGAAGGTCATCATCATTACCATCATTATATGAGGGACGCTAAGCCCGGTTCGCAGCATGCTCAGTTCGGTCACTCTAGGTAGACTGTGAGGTCCCCAGCCTTAATCTTCTTATTGGTAATATCAGCCTTGGGCACTGGGCCTGAATTTAAAATAATAATAATAATAATAATAATAATAATAATAATAATAATAATAATAATAATAATAATAATTAGAAAAAAAAAATGCAACTCGTGTGTAGTAGTGGCTAGGCTTCGGTGATGATCAGCGAATCGAACAAGCCTAGCGGGTCTGTTATGGCTTTGCGGGATTGTGCATTGGATCGCTGCGACGGAATGCAAGATCCGGATGGATCAGCATAGGAGTTGAGCTGCCAGTGATGGACGGATGATTGTTGGTAGGGGTGCTCAGTGCACAGTGACTGGGATCGTCGGTGGGTAAGAGATTTTGGTATGTTGGTTGGCCAGGGTGCCAAGTTTTTTAAAGCCAACGGGTCGTCGTCCTCTTCTTCTTCCCTTCTGTTTTCAAGCATACATTCAACGAGTCGTTACCTGGCAAGTCACCATTTTCCTTTACATTTGTCTCATTGATTGAGAGGATTTTTTCAACCCTGGGCTTTGTGATCTCGTTTGTGTGAGTGAATGAGTTGTATGTAAATGACTGCAAGTGAACTCTCCTTTCAATTTTTTCTTATCTTTCCCGTGATCTTCAAAACACTCTTCGATTGCAAGAGGAATGATCACGCGCACATCGTTTTCAAAGCGCAAGGGTTCTTTTCTTCTTGTCTATCTTTGGATGAGTTGAATGCATGAATGGATGAGGTGCGATGTTCTTCGGACAATGCATGATTGATTGTGTGTGGATGAAATCGACATCTTTCTTTCTTGTGAGGTGTATGACCTGGTCACAAGGATAATAAATTTTCTACAATTCACTGATTGTTTGATGGATGTTGATCACTCTAGTGCAAATACTATCTCTCCTCGCGAGTGCTATTTTTTTTATGTAAACAGATGTTTCACGTAGTAGACAATTTGGGATATGCAAACCCGATGCATTAAACTCTCTCTTCCCCTGAGTATTTTGTCATATCGTTGTGTTAGTGTGAGTAAGTAGCGAGTTGAGTGCTCGGTATACCCTTTTCCTTGCTCACTTCACGTTGAGTCATAGGCCCGATACAAAAACCAAAGAAAACAAGTGCGTACAACACTCCTGTTGCGCTCCTCCGCTTGCAGCAGGCGCAACGACAAACGAATGTAGTCCACATTCATCAACCAATGACTCATAATATCTTGTTTTTGAATGGCGGATACATGTGATGGATATTTTTTCTATTCGACAATAATTTTCCCCTTTGCAATGTTTGTCAGGGTGTCTCGATCTTCTGCCTTGAAGTCGCTCGTAGATCCCATCCTTTGTCCTAAGTTCCAATAGTATAACGAAGAACAGTTATGCGTGTGTGAGTGAAACGTCTACAACTCCACAAAAGCCTAGTGCTCGGTCTTTGTCAATGTTGGGTTTGTGATCGTGGACACCGTCTTTCATCCATACTTGGTTATGTTATCGTTTAATAGATTTTTGTTTTATAGCAGACTGTTGCTTGTCATTGACCTCGTACTCTGTGTTCCGACTGTCATCGTATGCAACGCCTAAGATCAAAAGGATTCGAATAACATGACATGTGGAGAGTCTGAGATAGCGAAAAGAGCCGCTTAGTTGCGCTCATCCGACTCCGACTGTGAACTCTGTGAGATGCGTCGTCGAACAATCCTCCATAGCCCGGATCCGACTTACGCCCCAGAATCATAGGTAGACGTTGATCGCCCGCATGTTTGTCCTTCAGCTTCATTTATCGACCATAACCGAAACTGCATGAGAGATTCCAGTCTTCATGCTCCCTCTTTTCTAAAATCCTTCGCACACCCACGTTGCATGTGTTTTTAGCTCCTTTCCGCATTTTTGTCACTCCATAAAAAAAAAGCAACGTAGGGTGTGAGGTTAGAGTGT